CGTAAAATACGAAAAAGATTAGATTAGGGAACGCTTGTGGTGGTCATCCACAGGGAGAAGAAGCCCTGGCACAATGTCATCATCCACAGACGGGCAACAACAAGGTCTTGGCCCAGCTTTTCGCCCAATAAACACCCTAAGGCCATTTTCCATCTTAAGCAGTTCGCGTTGAGCCGGCTGCTGGGGACAAACAGCTGTTGTTAGCCCCCGTTTTCTATGCTTTATTCACAACACAGAAGGATTGTCGTAGGCGTCCTAATGTTCCTCCAGCTGACAAGCAGGCATCTTAACTTGGGGCCGAGATTCATCCCGCACGCGACATATGCGCAGACAACAAGGACAGTCACTGCTGGTGGTAGGTAGACGTGCGGCTTTATTCTCTTGCTGAAAAACGAGTGAACTGAAGTCGTCAGCGCTAAGTCGCCCGTGATGCCCATCGCGAAGTAGTAGAGCATCCTCCGAAGTGAGCCTATCGATACAGGGATCGCTCACGCCCTGAAGACACATGTGACAGAAAGTGGTGAGAGAGGGTCCTTGATTATGAATTTGAGTGTGCTGGGAGAGAAGTCCGCACAGGGCAGTCGCTTCTCATACCATTCGACCAGCTTTTGCCCATGCTCGGGGCTCACGATCGACCCACCAGCGAAAGACGGTTGGCGGAACTGCACGCCATCGAGCTTCAACCCATCGAGCAGAGTGAGTCCCGCCCACAACCAATGTGGCTGAGTCGCATGTGCCTAGTCGGCTGCCGATCCCCAAGTTAGAGGCCTTGAAAGAGCCAAAGCTCGCCACTCGCCCTGAAAGGAAGAAGAGGTGTGAGCTGACCCAGGGACGGTGTGTAGGACAAACGATGGAGTGCGTACCCTCAACGTCGCCATTTATGAGGTCGAAGCCCGCTTCACTCTCGGTGCTATTAGAGTTGGCCCCAACAATCAACACGTTGTAATGGGCAGCGAATCCGAAGAAGTTGGGCGGGCAGGTCTTGGCTGAGGCCAGTGTCGCGCACAGCCCGACTACAAACAACAGCTGCTGCGTTCTGATCATTCGAAGCTTGAGCGTGGTGTAGACAAATTGATGTTTTTAGAGTCCCCTAGGTGAACTCGAGGTCTGTGTCGTCATAAAGGGTCGAAGGGGAGTCAAGAAGGCGGGCTTTATACGTACCGGAGAAGATCGGCATCTACACCCTCCCAGCGGCTTTTCGGTGCGAGGGGAGGTCATTCTCGGCCACCCACTCAACTCCAACTCTATTGGCAGTAACTGTACCGTTGTGAAAGGTGGGCATGAGTGATCGCCCGGCCTTCCGTAGATTGATCGTTTTGCCTCTGTGTTGAGACAGCAACCCACCGGAAAGGCTCCCGCAAGAACTGTGAAGCGCCGCGGCCAATGAGCGGTTTGCATTTTACAAAGGAGGAAAAAAAAGGAAAGGAAAAAATGGGTCTCATTACAGTTCATCGTCGGCGCTTGGCCCGAAGTTGACGTTGTCGAGACGGGCGCTACTCTGGCGTCGTTGCCACCAGGCCACCACAAGCGCTGCGACGATCACGGCCACCACGAGCAGCACCGCCACGGGTACCACCACCGACACGGCCACGATCAACGCCAGGTCTGAGTCTCCACCTCCTCCACCTTCTTTGTCCTTGCCCTGCACGAGCAGCCCCAAATCTGTTCCCATCGCCAGTCAGCGTGTGTGTTGTGTGCGGTCGTGCGTGTCGTGCGTCGCGTGTGTCGTGTGTCGTGGTGTGCGTGTGTGTGTGTCGTGCTATTGCTGTCGCTTGCGAGAAGCGTACCGGGATCGTAATACAGCGATGAGGCGAAGTAGGGGAACTCTAATGTCAACGACGAGTCGGTAGCGTTGGCCCAAAACTGTACCTCCACCGTCTGGTTGCCGCCATCGACGTAGGCAAAGTCCACCAGCCGCACCACCGTGGTCACGTTGGCCGACGCGCCGCCCTGGCCCTGCAGCTCGAGCGTGGTCATGTTGGCTTGCGGCGTACCGGGGCGCATCACCACCTCGCTGAACTGGGGGTTCAGGGCCAGCTTGACCCTCAGCCTGCTGCCGTCGTCGCGCCACGGCCAGCCGGTCACCGACAGCGACAGCTTGGCCAGCGATTGATCGACCGTGAAGGTGTACTTGCTGCTGCTGCCGCCGTCACCGCCGGCGGTCGCGTTCGACGAGCCGTTGGTTGCGGGCGGCGCGTAAACGACCGAAGTGTTGCGGTCGAACAGCAGGACTTCCAATTCGAGGCTCCCTGAAGACGTCGAT